ACTCTCCAACAGGTCAGTACCCAACTTAACATGCGGGTTAGCACTGGTGGCTGCCTTCTGCTGAGTTCCCGATAAACCTCCTGTTAGGATCCCAAATTTGGGTTTTCTACCTTTTCCTCAGACCTCTAGCGTCTGTGCAGAGGGGTGTGTGTGTGTTTCCACTTTTTAGCTCCCTGCTGTCCTGTTCTGTGTGGAGCTGCGTGCCCCCACTGTTCACTTTCTGCTTATTTCACTGAAATGTTCTGAGAACAGAGCCTCTTACCTGTGTGCGGGGTTAAGCTCAAGGCAGTAGGTCGTGTTTAGCAGGACTCTTTGGCCTCAGAGTTGAACGGTGTCAGAGCTGCTCTGTTCTGTCTCTCGCTGCAGGTGACTGAAAGCTTCCTAAGCAAAGAAATCAGCTGCGTGGTTTCCAGCAGCAAAGAGGCCAAATGGGACAAAGCCAGGACTCGTACTGAGAAATGGAGCAGCGTATCATCAGAGGAAGCAAAAGCCGCAAGCCCAACACCTTCTACCTCCAAAAGGAACCGTCCGAGACCTCACCAGAAGCCACCAGACACTGTAAGAGCTCGAAAGGTTTCGGCCACCTCAAAGGTTTGGCCCGAGAGATCTGCAGAGTAGAACCTGAGACCAGAGTTGGAGGGCGAAGTTGTTCCTGGTCTGAGCAAACACATAGTGTGGTTTGTTTTTTTTTTTCCCCTGGTCTGGCTGTTTATATTTCTGCTGCTCTTCCTTATATCTCCACATCGTTGTCCGCTTGAATGTGTGTGTTATAGCTTTGAGCTAGTAAACGAAGATATCTGCTGGAAAGGCAGAGGAAATTCAGGACTTGGCTGGCTTCCCAGCAGGACAGGTGGTTGTCCCGATGCAGAGGTGTGTCTAGAAAAGCCAGAGAAATGTAAACAAGATAAAACCATTGCAGGGTGTGGGTGTGTGCTCACGGACACAGGTAGGGCAACGCCGCTGTAACATGGGAGGAGATCTACACGAGCAGCTTGCAAGGAGGGGTGTCTCTAGGTCCTGCTCACCCTGATGCAGCCGGGCTTTCAGGTCAGTGGTGCTTGTGGGCAAAGCTCCAGTGTCCTGTGTTGAACACTGGTGTGTGCTGGAAGCTGTGAGTGCAGGGAGAGCCTACAACCTGGTTTGGGCTGGGGCAGAGTGACCCCTCTTCCCAGCAGCCAGGGAGAGGCTGGTTGGGTTTGTGCTGAGGAGAAGCTGATCACACACTGATGGGCAGAGCTGCTGCCAGGACAGTCAAGGACTTTCCAGCTTCTCTGCTGTGCCCGTGTCTGCAGGGGCAGGAGGAGCTGGGAGGGAGCACAGCCCCAGTGACCAGCCCAGGATTCAACCTCGGGTTTAGGGCTGAGACCCAAACTGGCCGATGGTCTGTTCCATCCCATGCCCGGCATGGCCAGGGGATAGGTGAGGCTCTGGCTGGGAGTTTTCTCTCTTGCTCCAGGGTGTCTCCCTCCCCTCTCTCAGGGTCATTTCAGTCTCTCGGACACTCGAGCTCTTATCTCCGTTCCGAGATTGCAGTTTCAGGACTCTCCCTGCTCTGGGATCGTTGGCTGGGAACAGGCTGAGCCTTGGCCGTGGGGTGGTGAGCAGTGTCACCGTGTGTCACTTGTTTGTGTATTTGTATATATCACTGTTGTTATCATCATTATTATGATTTAAAATATTATTGCAGTTTAGTTATTGAATTGTTCTTATCTCACCCTATGAGCATCTTTTCCCTTCACTTTCCCTTCACCCGTTTAATTCTCTCCCCATACATAGGCAGGGGCAGGGTGAGTGAGTGGTGGCTGTGTAAAACTACACGAGTGGGAAACCTGGGCTGATGTCGGGCGTTTCACCATGTTTGTTCCGCTGTCCTTGCTCCCAGCACTATCCATTTGTCTTGCAAAGAGCTTAACCTATTTGCTGAAATCATTGGCTCACAAATGAGGCTGGGTTCCCAGCAAGGGCGCTCCTGCCCCGCCAGCCTGTCGGGACGTGGCAGGCAGAGTTTCCAAGCTGAGTTGCTGCTTCCGTTTGGCTGGCTCACAAGCACTCACTGGGGTTCGATGAAAGCCAAGCCTTGGCTGAGCAGCTGCTTGGTGCACTAATGGGTGCCTCTGCAGTTCCCATTCCCTGGAAATGCTCGCTCCTGCTTTCTCTGAGATGAAATCTTGGCCAGACTCTTCTCCCAAGCGGAGAGTGGGTACCTCTAGAAATCATTCTTGCTGGACAGCCGTGCTGTCCTCAGCGTGCCGCTGCCTGGTAGCTCTTTGCTCTAACGTCGTACTTGGCTTCTTTCTCCGCAGGCCCTGATCAGCAGAGGGAAGGAACTGTTGCAGAAGGCCATGAAGAATCAGGTGAGCAGTGTGTGGACGGGCTTTTCTCTAGCTGAGTATGTTCAAAATACTGCTGAGCAGTGCAAAACCAGTGCCAGCCGCTTCTCCAGAGCCCCTGCCTGCTGAAGGAGCAGATTCTGGGGCTGGTAAAGGTCTGAAGCAGGTGCTTGTGGCTCTGCAGGATATCGTGCAACGCTCCTGGGCGCTGTTCTTCACGGAGTCACTCTGTCTGTCCACGTTCAGTACTTCTAAGGCCTGGCCCAGTGATCTGGGTGCTCAACACAAAAGAATTTTTAACACAAGACTGGTTGTTAGATGAATTTTTAGCCTAGATAGAACTAAAGCAGCATAGCTGGGGCACAAGGCTCCCCTGGAGTCCTTTCACTGACATCACAAGTGGCCAAAAGAATCTCGGTGTCTGCTTCAAAGCTCATGCTATAGCAGGGATTAAAAATTTGACCTAGATGCTGCTGTTAATTTGGGGTAGATAAAGCATAAGTTCGGACCTTTTCTGCTGTGCCCTGGTTTTAATAACAGCAGGCCAGCAGGAAAATCTCTAAACTAGATTGAGAGCCGCGTGTGCTTGCACAGCCAACTCGGAGCTGCACCTGCCAAACCTCTCTGTTCGTACAGGACACCTGCGGTGGCAGCAGCATCCTCGCCAACGCCCGCCTGTGGGGAGTCCAGATCCTGCACGTGGATGGTATCCTTCTCTGTAGGCTGAAATTAGCTGCTGGTAATCAGTGATTTTTGAGACAAGTGGAGCAGAAGCGATGCAGCGAGTGTGGTACAAAAGGAAGAAATTGCAAGCGATACCTGCGTGCGGTCCTGGCCGTGACTGGCTGGGTCTGCCCTTCAAAAACCAGATTTCCTGGTATGTGTAGAACATGCTGCTGTCGCATTTGCAATAGCAAACACCACATATGGTTTAATATACTGAGGCTGTAGTATTAGGAGTTGTTAATAGCTTGGTCAGTGCATTAATTTGTTCCAAAAAGACCATTTTTCCTAATTGACCTGGAAGTACAGATGGTACTAATGGCAGGGTTTGGTCGGTGTTAATGAGGAAGTGCTGATGTTGGAGGAGCTGTGCTGGAAGGCGCTTCCTGTCTCCGTGATGAATGGGGAGGGGGTGATGGGGAAGACAGATGGTGGAACTCTGCTTCTAATAATAGATCTGGAGTAAAAGGTTCCTGAGTGTCCGCTGACAGTGACATACAGCCGTGGCTGAGCTTGTCTGGGTG